TAACTTCAAAAGAATCAATCAGTTGGCTAAAACAGCATTTCGCAAATTACAGTCGTCCTCACACAATAGTAAGCGATAGAGGAACTAGTTTTACCTCAAATGAATTTACAGAATTCTTAAAAGAAAATAACATTCAACATGTAATGATAGCCACCGGCTCTCCTAAAGCAAACGGACAAGTCGAACGCGTAAACCGAGTATTAGGTCCACTGCTTGCGAAACTAGTTGATAAGTCCGCCGGAAATTATTGGTATAAGACACTAACCGAAGCGGAATTTGCGATTAATAATACTACAAATAAGTCTACCGGGTATACGCCAAGCTATTTATTGTTTGGGGTAGAGCAACGAGGCCCAAATATCGATGGGATCAAAGAATACTTAGGAGAAAAAGAAGCTCCATCTGAGCGTGACTTTGAGTTAATCCGCGAAAAAGCCAGTACAAATATCACAAAAAGCCAGGAATATAATCAATATTATTTTGATCAGAATAGAAAGAAACCGCATCAATATAAAATAGGCGATTATGTCGGAATCCGTAATTTTGATAATACTCCCGGAGCCCCAAAAAAGCTCATTCCTAAGTTCAAAGGACCCTATGAAATCGCTGAGGTTCTAAAAAATGACAGATATATAGTTAAAGATATAGAAAATTCCCAAACATCACAACGCCCTTATAAAGGAATTTGGGAAACTAATAATATTAAACCTTGGCATTACGGAACAGATGAATAACACGAGAAAAGGTTTAACACTAAGACATTGTAATAATAAAAAGTTAAGTTACAGTATTATACTAGAGTCATATTTATAACTCTGTCCGAGGTCGGACAGCTAGTCAGGAAAGGCCGAATTGTGAGATACTTCTATTAATTTAAACGCGCGCCCTCACAGCGACATTACTTTCGATATCATTTTCGATCTACGCAACTCGATCCACAAAGCGGCCAAGAGATGGCGTGCGAGATAGGCAAGAAGACATTGTTTGTCAAACCTCACGA